CCACCTCTCTCCGAGAACTACATTCCCTCTCCGACGAGATCTGGTTCCTGTCCGGCGACATCTCAGTCGACAGTTCCTGGTATACCAAGCGAGCCAGTCTATCCACTATTTACGCTGCTACCGAATTATACATGACGACAGATAAATCCGAGGGCTTTAAAGATACCCGCGAGTTCCTGGAGAGGAGATTCAGGGATTCACAGGTGCTTGGAGGAATTGTTGGGGGGCTTGGTCAATGGGTGGGTTTCACGGCGATGGCGGGTGTTAATGTTTTGAGGAGTAAGGGGGTGAGGATTTAGTGGATGATTTATATGAAATAGAGGAATGTATTTTGCTGTTCACGTGGCATGAAAGGGAATGGCAGGAGGGAACAAACAGATCAATAAAAGGTCATGTATTCAGATTCATGTTATTTTAACATCAAAATTGCCACCAATAGCAACCACATGGGCAATACCATACCTGGACTCAAGGACCAGTGAACACCATAACGCCATATCTTCGTAAGACACTGCACCAAATATTCCCCACTGTGATTTTACAAGTTCCCAACGCCCCTTAGAAGTTAAGTAAATTACAGTAAAATTCGATTAAGCGGGATTTATCGTCTCGGGAATAGATTTCTGTAATCTTTCTCTCGGGGCTGCAAGTCTGTTATATGTTAGTAGGAAGATATGGGCATTAGACTAGCAATTGAGGGACTTACTTGTGGATTGACACATCAGGATTGTTGTCAATGCCAGCTCCCAAGGCCTTGGGTGTGATCAAGATGAATTGTCTGCCAACGGCGCGTCGAGCAGCGCTGATCTATCGACTCATTAGCATATGAGAAATTTGTGAGTAGAGCTTATTGTAACTTACAATCATCTTAGTGCTCACATCCCGATTAACATCATCCATGAAAACGTCGAACTCATCCAAACAGCGGAGAGGTGCACCCATAGCTTCCCAGAGAGAGAGAAGTAGACAGATAGACGAAAATGATTTTTCTCCTCCCGAAAGCGTCTTGGTTTGTCGACCCTTCTTATTATTACTTGTCTCGTCAGGTTCCACATGGACATCCAGTAATCTGTTCTTGTGATCAATCTCAAGTTTTCCCCTGAAAGCTCTCTCACTCAGCAGATAGTTGAAGTTGATACGAGATCTGGCAGAGATATGTCTCTGGAAACTGCGATATTGCTTCATGCGCAGAGAGAAAGAATACTTAAGTAGTCTTAGCAATTCTTCCATGTGTTTACGGCGGGATTTGAAGCTCCTCAAAAGCTCATGAGCCTTTGCGTAGCCATCTATAATTTCTTGCTCTGTGACCCCAAGCTTTCTGCTATACTGACTCAATTGATCCGTAATACTCTTGTACTTCGCTTCAAGACTAGCTCTGGTCTCATGTGGTGGTACTGGAATTCTGGCACATATCTGCGTTGCCGCTTCAATGTATTCTTCCACTCGAGTTTCCGTATCTGCGAGCTTAGTTTCGGCTTCTCGTTTGTAATCCTTATAGACCTCAACTTGCGCAATAGCAGCATTCTTTTCCCCAAGTGCTATAGCGCGTGCCTGCTCTTTAGCTTTGACCTTCTGATTTGCGTTGGCAATCAACTTCTCATGACTTTCTACACGTTTCTTGGCGGCTCTATAGGCATTTTTACAGCCAAGAGATGTTGTGTTATACTCAGTCCTTGCAAGAGTAGTAGCGCCATAGGCATTTTCGTAATGCGTAACATTATCATTCGCCTCCTCCAGTTGTGCTTTGAGGGAATCCAGATAGCCATCCTCAATGTTAAGGTTGTTGTATTCGTTTTCTAATGATTCAACACGTTCTTCGGCCTTTTGTAACCTAATCTTTAATCTGCCTTGGGCAACCTTGTGCTGTTGGATCGCCCTGTCTGCCTCTTGAACACGCTGTTGAGCTGCACGGCAACTGTTTGCAAGCCTCGACTCTTCAGCTTGGCAGGTTTTCAATGTTTCCTGTTGCAAGACAATACGGCGCTCACCATCTGTATTCATGCGAGCTTTGAACCGGTAGGGTGACACATAGTCCTGTGCACTATTTTGATAGTTGGGGCCATTGCAATACAGGCGAATACCCCAGCCTCTTCTTTGTGGATTGAGAGTGAAGCAATGTCTGACATGCGCAGGCCTAGACCTAGGCTCCATGATGCGCATTGCTTCTTCTAAGTCATCTATCAGTAATACCTGATCTATTGCTTGGTTTATGATCAATGTGTTCCTCACAATCTCACTATCAATATCCAACATTCTTAAAATGGTCATGAAGTGCTGATCAGGCTCGTTGTTTGTGGTGTCAATGGGTTTGGGAGGCGTGATGTAAATTTGAGTTCGAAGTATACCCATGGAGGAGATGATTTTCTGCAGCCTGGCCTGGTCTGCTTTGTTGGTAACAGCAAAACTATTCAAGGTGTTACCAAAAGTCACCTCGAGAATATCAGACCATTTAGGATCGCGAAGTTTCACGTGGAGACCAATAGGACCAACAGGTTTCTGAATGAATCCTCGATCTTGCTCTATTCTCCGAAGTAGCTCAGGAGTTTTCTGGTCAAAACTGCGCATAGGATCCGGGCGTTCGTTCTGCATTTCTCTTAGTCTGTTCCTACAGTTCTCCACTTCCTTTCTCTTCGCGGCCAAGGGCCCTTGCTCTTTTTCAAGTGCAGATTTAGCAGATTGACTCCTCTCTACCAATCCTTGCATCTCTCCATGGCTCCTCTCAAATTCGGCTCTCGCCTGCGAAGCTTCCGTCTTAGCAGATTCGATCTCTGTGAATTTTCGATTGAGAGATCCACCATTGGCATCCTCAATACGCTTCTGCTCGGCATCGATTTCCCCTTGAATAGTTCGAGCTTTTTGCTTTGCTGTTTCGAGTTCCAGCTTACTCTCCTTGTGTTCCTGGTGGAGCTTTTTAACCTCCGAGTCTGCCTCTTCAGCCTTCGACTTGGCTTCTTGCTCTTCGTCTTTGATAGGGACAAGCTCCTCTCCAAGAACTCTGGCCTTTTCGGAAGCTCGCTCAACAGAAGCATCAAGTGTCTGATATGCTCGGTCTTTCTCATCTACAATCTTCTCCTTTTCCTCAATCTTTCGTTGTGTTTCCACAACTGTCCCTTTGCGCTCCTCCAGTTCGCTTTCTTGCTCGTCAACCTGAAACCATGTCAACTGGTTTCTGAGAACTCTCTTCTCAACTCTCATGTCTTGATGCTGATCATAAATCTTCTTCTTTGCCTCTGCATCCTCGGCCTGTTTTTCCAGTGCCTCGAGATCACCCATGCTTTCATCAAGAAGAACTTCGATCTGATCACAACTCTCGGAAACAAGCTTGTAGTCATTGTCAAGTTGTTCGAGTTGTACGCCCTTCCTGAAAAAGTCGAACTTCTGGGCTGGGGTAGAAGATGTAATGAAGGTTTTCGCCTCATCTTGAGTAAGAACATTCATTGGGTTGTCAACTTGAAGCTGGAAATACTCCACTATATCATCCATATCACCCTTCTTACTGGTTACAAGCCCACCGGCTGCGTTCTTCACTCTATAAGTGCTACCACTGCCCGAAAAATGACGTTCAATGATAATCGACTGTCCGTATACTTCTGGCCGATAGGCGTCGGAACCCTCATTTTTCAATTTGACAAGAAGCATTCCCCGATCAGTTCCTGTCTTGATTAAGCTTTTCATACTGCTTCCACGATTCGTCGCACTAGGCTTTCCTCCTAGACAGAGTGTGATGCCCGTCAAAACTGCACTCTTCCCAGCTCCATTTTCCCCGACGACAAAATTGATAAGTGGGCCTAAGGGAACTTTAAGATTTTTATGGTTCATGAAATTCACACACTGAATTTCTTGAATGATGGAATTCTCGGCAGCGCGATTGGTACGAGGGGTCTGATTTTTGGCAAGAAGTTGCTGAGTAGCCATGTAATCATCGTGTTCGGTGTGTTCCAAATGTTTGAATCCAGCATCGCGAAGTAATTCGTACTGAGTTCCAGGGGGCACAGTCATTTCTTCATCGTCATCATCTTCATTATTATTGTAGTCATCATCGCTGGCGTTGTCGGAAGAACTGGAGGGGCTATCGTCGCGGACTTGTAATGATCTCGAGGAAGATCCACCATTAGAGATTTTGGCGCGTTTGCGTTGCTAAGATAAAATGTCAGCATCTGTGGGCATGGATAGTTATTCTGGAAGTATGGCAGAAGGCGGAGGACATCTGCCAATATCCCAGGGCGCAAAAGGGTAGTGGTGGGTGTTCAAGAGTTACGCACAGTATCATGACGTAAGGCTGAGCTTGCACTCTCAGTTGCAATAACACCCCCCTCATCGTGTCTTGCACGCTTTAGAGGAGCCATGTGGTGATTTAGTTACTCTGATAAAAGTCAGAGTCGAGTTGTGAAATAAAATTATTAGGTTCGGCCATTCGACGCGTTGAAGATAAGTTACAAACACGCGAGAGCACCTGATAAGCCTCCAATCGCGGCAGTGAATTAGGTAAGCTTTCCAATCAGCGTGCCTTGCTTGAATTGCCGTGAAATGAACAATCCGGCCAAATTCAATGTACATATTCCATCAATCCTTTCATCAAACCTTTCATTGTCTGATTATCTGATGTTTTGAAGTTTAATTTGATTCAATTCGGATATATCTAATTAGGTATTCCATGGTTCTATAGGTAAGAAATATTTGGAATTTGATTGGTCCTCGAGTCAAGCAAGGTAGGTTACTGGATTGATTACTTTGAAGCATTCCACTTACTTACTCATGGATACGTAGGTAGGTACTTATTATACGGTAATGCACATTTCGAATTCTACAACTCTTCCAGAATGATCGACTTGAGACTACTTACAATTATGCTTAAAAAGAAATTGGTGTTGTGTCAAGCTCTGATAGTTTTAGGCTGTTCTATCTACATCTCTTGAATAAAGTGGCCCATACTGTTGAAACGTATGGACCGAACGCTATCTATCACACGCAGGCTAAACTATAACATTACATACAAGTCATCAAGCAGTCGCATCTTCTGCTGCTTTCAATGCCATCGCAAACCTCGCTTTCAGATCGCTAGCATCCTCAAGACCAACACTGATCCGAATGAGTTCCGCAGGTACACCAAATTGCGCCGCCCAATCTAGTTCCAGGTAATGAGCTAGGATCACATAAGGTGAAGTTAATGTGAAGTTGGTTCCCAGACTTGGGCCTTTCGCAGTTTCAATCTTGTCATAGAATGCGACTGCTTGAGGCATCTCTTTAAAGGTAAATGAAAGAAGCCCACCATATCCTCCGCTCGGTGTACGACAATCATCGTAGAAAGTTCTCGAGGCGTTGTATTTGGGGTAGTAAACCGACTTTACCAATGGATGGTTTCGAAGTATATCACAGATAACTTCAGCGTTATCGTTGATTTTTTCAATACGAGATACAAAGTGACGACTGTTTCGTTCCATGAACATAACATCTTCGGCCCAGTAGTTATCTTCATATTCTGTTTTAGCTACAGACTTCAAGGATTGATAGTACTTTCCACCAGTGTTAAAGATGGCACTTCCGCCCATGACGTTGCATTCTCCCGAGAAGATTTTCGTGAGACTGCTGACGACTATGTCTGCAAATGGTAGAACGTGAACATTGATAAAATTTCCAATGGTCTCATCAACCACCACAGCAAAGTCGTATTCATCTGCCAATGCCCGGATTCGCTTTAGATCTGGACAATTTAGCATTGGGTTTCCTGGAAATTCACAAAATAGTGCGAGATATTTCTCTCCTGCTTTCAGTCTTCTCTCTAAATCATCTAAATCTTCGGAAGAGCCGTTGCCGTAAAAGTTGCAGCCGGGACCAAATTTTTCCAGAATTTTGAGAGTATCGACATACGGGAACCCGAAAGATATGCTTTTCAAAGAACCTCTGGTTTTCAATAGCATCTGGTGGGCATTATAAATCGAGTTCATGCCGCAAGGATAAAGGTAAACATCGTCCTCGGAAAGCTCGGCAACTCCACGCATATTAGAGGCCATATCTGTGCTCGGAGTCTCAGACAAATCAACTTCACCAACCAATGAACCTGCGATCCGACGGCGAATTGCTGATCTTGCGTTGTCCACGAAAGAAACATCAAGATTTCGACCAAAACGCTCCTCTAGGAACTGCGAGCTTTCCCGAGCCTCAGAGTTTATCGGCGAGATAGGGGAGTGATGGCTGTCGCCACCACCTGAGCCGTTATGGCTTCTAGATGTCTTGTCTATAGAGCCTTTCTGGTATCTTCTGGGACCTTTACATAGCTTACCACCATCTTGAGGACTTGGCGGACTTGTCTTTTTCACTAGCAATCCTTCTTGGAAGAGAGTGTGGCAAAATTCAGCTCTTCTGCTAGAAACACCGTCTCCAGAATGCTGCCAGTATTGCTTCGCAATCGGGAACAATTCTTTGGCGAACAAAACAGCGGAAATGGAAGGCGAAATCTTGGTGAGGACTTCTGATGAGGTTTGATTACGCTCAAGGACTAAGTCGATTACACTAAGCTGATTTGGAGATATCGACTTGTCTCTTGAAAGCATAAACGCCACACAACTCCTAGCAGTCTTAGGCGACGGAAAGAGCATTGCCTGCTCGTTTTGACTGCCATATGCTTTGACAATATCATCGGCGAATGCAACGATTAGTTTGTGAATGAAGAATCTGAGTCACGAGACCAGCCAGCGTCAGTTAAACGGAAAAGGTTGACGAGAGTTAAAGTAAACTGACCGAGGATATCCAGTGGTCATCTTCCCCAAAACCCTTTGGTCGCCCTCTTCGTAACCAACATTGTCCTTCCACGTTGGTAATGAAACACTTGTGGCCTAGAAAAGTATTAGATATATGAATCATATGAATTGCCTCACGAAAAAGGATTTTTTCGCTATTGCTATTTCCTTGCTACATTAAAAAGAAAGGTCGAATACTAACATGTGGTGTCAAGGCAGGTACGGACTCTCCAAGTTCGATTACAGACATTTTGAGTTTGTAATGTAAAGACGGAGGGTTATGGTTGAAATATATTAATAAATTTAGAAGTCCGTTTTTTTGTAAATTTAACTTGGGGATCCCACTTGTAACGATGCTAAACAATTGTGCAATCAAAGATATTATCCGCTATCGGAGTTTCAGGATAAGAGGACTCTAAAATTTAAGCTTAAATTTAGTGGATGGGGGGGCTAAGACATTCGCATCTTTTTTTGAAAAATATAATTTTAGTACTCGTAGAGAGAGAGAAGAGAGAAAATCGTCAACATTCGTGCATCAACAATATCACCATAATGGCACCTCTTACCACAAAACGACGCAAATTAGAACATACAAGTGACGATGAAGCTCCGCAAACCCAAAAGCCAAAGGTAGAGAATGTCGACGCGGAGGATGCTGCGGCAGATGAAGCCTCTTCATCTGATGATGCGGATGCAATCCAATCGAAATCCAAACATGCGCCTGCAAAACGACGACACGACGACCAGGATGCTGCGCTATATTCTGGCGGTCTTTATAAGTCGAGTATGTTCAAACTTCAAGTAGATGAGCTTTTGAATGAAGTGCGACCAAATTATGAGAAGCGCGCTGCCGGAATAAAATCCGCATTACACCAGCTCAAAAATGCAATTGAAGGCATTGAAGATCATGAACCCCTTCTTGTAAGTCTTATCCCGAGTAATTGACCAATGCTAGTTACTTATATATGATTCATAGATTCCCGATGCTATTAAATTGTTCTCCAAAACTCACAAAATTGCGATCCCCTTCCCCGATCCTAAACCCGACAATAACGCGGCCTACAAACTTATATATTCGAAACCATCTGGTATTAACGTTGTTGGGAGTTATGCTTTGGGGACTATGGTTAAGTCCGAAAAGCCTTTGTGTGTCGATATGATTGTGAACATGCCGAAGTCACTTTTCCAAGAGAAAGACTATCTTAATTATAGATACTTCTACAAGAGGGCGTACTATCTGGCAACGATAGCAGCTGGACTTCATACTGCAATGCCAGACTTGACATTGGAATATGACTTTTTAAATGGAAACAGCCTACATCCGATTCTAGTAGCTCGATGGAAAGCTAGCGCAAAAGGGGACCCAAATTCGCGATTTGAGGTACATATCATACCTGCTGCTGCTCGTGGCTGCTTTGCAGAGGCCAAGCTACGCCCCACAAAGAACTCGATTCGCCCTAAAGAAGGAGCAGATAACGACGCCACCACACCCGAACCTTCACCATTTTACAATTCGTCCTTGAGCGCGGACTGTAACTTCGAATCATATCTCCAACTGCTTCATAATGCATCCAAGACGTCGGAAGGCTTCAAAGATGCGTGTCTGCTTGGCAGAATTTGGCTTCGACAAAGAGGGTTTGGCAGTGCTATATCTCAGGGAGGGTTAGGGCACTTTGAGTGGGCCGCCTTGACAGCTCTGTTACTGAAAGGAGGGGGCCCCAGAGGACATAGCCTTTTATCTCCCGGATATAGCAGCTATCAAATGTTCAAGGCAGTAGTTCAATATCTATCGACCACTGATCTGGTCAAAAAGCCAGTGCTTTACGAGGTACCAGATCTCCAGATTGCGAAATCCGACACCCCAGTATTCTATGATGGCTCAAGAGGCGTCAATATTCTGTACAAAATGACGCCATTTTCATACGAATTACTGCGTGATGAAGCAAAAATTTCATTGACAATGCTTAATGACTCTACATTTGATCAGTTTGAGGCAACATTCATCACAAAGGCCGATCAGATCCTGCAGAAATATGACTGCATAGTAAATATTCCTATCGCCGCCCAAAAAGATGGTGTGTCTAGTTGTGATCATAAGATTCATGCCACCACCTTTGCAAACCATGTATTCGCTACCTTGAAGGAGGGCTTGTCTGATAGGGTCAAGCTCTTAGATATTAAGGCCATCGAAACAACCTCTTGGTCGGTTAAGAGCTCAGGGCCGTCAACAAGTAATCACCAGACGTTGAATCTTGCTGTTCTCTTTGATCCAGCGAATATAAGTCGCCTTGTTGACCATGGTCCGCCTGCAGAAGATAAGAAGAAAGCATTAAAGTTTCAGAAGTTCTGGGGTGAGAAGGCCGAGTTGAGACGTTTCAAAGATGGAAGTATTCTTGAAAGTTTAGTCTGGTCGCCTGGTTCAACTTATTCCATTTTTGAAGATATTGTCACTTATCTTATAAAACGACACTTTGGAGCCGAGATAAGCAAAGGACTGAGCTTCATTGGCGAGGGTTTTGAGAAATTATTACCCTCGTACGGAAATAGCTCTAAGACTTTTGAGGTCCTCAGACAGGCATACAATACTTTTGAGAAGGATATCAGAGATATGGAGAGTCTGCCGTTGCAACTGAAACAACTTTCCGCGGTAGATCCTCAATTACGATCTTCGTCGATTGACCTTCCCTTGTTTGCACCTAGACAACCTTTGAATGTCCCAGCAGATGTGCTGATCCAGTTTGAGGGATCCGGTAGATGGCCAGATGATGTTGTTGCCATCCAAAGAACTAAGATTGCTTTTCTTCTCAAGATCGGCGAGCTTTTGGTCGAGTCCAACGATGCCATAATCACGAGACTTGGCATAGAGAATGAGGATCAACCACTACAGAACTGTGCTTTCTTGGATATATTTTATCCATCGGGCGCCACGTTTCGCCTTCGAATTCACAATGAGCGAGAGCAAACACTTCTTGAGCGCCAAGTCAAAGATAAGACCAGTGACAATCGATCGCGAGAAGATGCAGCTTCAGCACTATCTATCTATAAAAGGTTTAATATCCAGCTCCCATTGCATACGCAATCGATATCAACGCATTGTACTCGATTCCCTCTTCTATCACCAACCATTCGTCTTGTTAAGAAATGGTTTGATCGTCACATGCTTTCTGATCATGTCAGTGGTGAGCTTATCGAGCTTTTGGCAGCTCGAGCTTTTCTACAACCTTATCCGTGGAAGGCGCCATCGAGTGCTATGTCTGGATTTTTACGCACTTTGCTCTTCATCTCGAAATGGGATTGGCGTTCCACTCCACTAATCGTAGACTTCACCGGTACGATGACAGATAAAGATGTTTCCACCTTAAATACCAGGATGGAGGCATGGCGAAAGATTGATCCAGGCATGAATCGCACTGTTGTGTTTGCAGCATCGAATTATGATACAACTGGAACCGCTTTTACTGACAAGGGGCCCTCGAAAATGGTAGCCGCAAGAATGACCGCTCTTGCGCGATCAGCTTGCAAAGCCGTCAAAGACCAAGGCTTGAACTTGAATACCAGATCACTGTTTGCAACATCTACGAATGACTACAATTTTGTCATCCATCTAAATCCTAAGGCTGCCGGTACCTCGAAAGCAAAGGATTCACATCGCTTCAAGAATCTTGAGGTGCAATCAGAATTGAACATTGAAAAAGTCGACTATCAACCCCTGCGAATGTTCAGCGAAGAATTAGAGAGTCTATACAGTGGGAGCATTGTCTTTTTCCGTAGTGCAACTGATATCTCTCGAATTGGAGGACTTTGGAATCCGCAAACGAATGTATCTAGAGCCTTCAAAGTGAACTTGGCATATGCCGTAAAACCTGAAGAGAACGATGGGGATGATGAAGAAGCGAAGAATGTTAAAATCAACCAGTCAGCGATGTTGGCGGAGATCGCTCGTTTGGGAGGTGATCTGGTGTCGAGGATAGAAGTTCATTAAGGAAGACGCTTTTAATACTATAAGGACATGTAACGCAAGAAGATGAGAATTCTTAGATGATACCCAGGTATAGAATGATAGTCATGTTGTAAGGGATTACATGGTCTTGAGAAATAGCCTTTGAGGCTGATTTGATAGTTGAGCCTCTCAGTTACAGTACAATCAAAGAATGATCGTCTTGAAAACCATTTCCCATCGAGCAATGTAACTTGCAAATAAGAAGAACTTGAGAAACCGAGGCCACTAGTGGAGAATTTCTTTCTATGAGAAATGCCAAATCGAGTGAGCGCAAGAAAAGCAGCCTACTCTACCTACGTAGTATTTACATTCTACGTTTCAATCACCACAAATTAAAGACTTATACTAGAGAAGCTTTGAAGCTTCATTTTTGAATTTTAGACTAAGACAAAATCAAATAACGTCAACATCCGAAACTGATTGGACTCAATGAACCATTCGGGTCAATTCAAATATGGAAAAGTAAAGTTCACCGGAGATCACCAGTCAACTACAGAGCTCACCGGTAGCTGATCTGGCCCAAGCATTTTCTAATCCACACCTTCAGCCTTACACTCACTCGCTTAAAAAAAGTTTAGGTGGGGGTAAAAAAGTTATCGCGGGGCAATCTATCGGTGGAAGATTTTACACATCATTTATCAACTAACTCTTTACTCAAGCGGTTCATTAATTATTCCTCCTTGAATTTTTCTTGCGCATTGGTGATAACTCGTGTCACAATGCCACCATATGATAGCGAATCATCTGGAGGTGAGGAAGAAGACTACACAGAAACCAATGTTTTACTTGGTTATGCCGGGAAAGAACCTCAAGATGATACAATCAGTTATTTAGGTGGTGAGCCTGTAAGTTCTCCCTTGAATGATTCTTCGAAATTCACAAAACCTACGATTTCTTCCACTTCAATTGCCATCTGAAAAACAACTAACACTTACTTCACCTGGGCAGTCTTGGATTGACCCTTCCACGCCTCCATCCGCCACTCTCGCAAAATGCAAAATCTGCAACGACCTCATGGTTCTAATCCTCCAACTGAACGCCGATCTTCCCTCTCACTTCCCCGACCACGAACGTCGTTTATACGTTCTAACATGTCGCCGAAAAACATGTCGGAGAAAGGAAGGAAGTGTTCGCGCATTGCGCGGTACACGAATCGCTGAATCTGCAAGCAAGCCAAAATCAAGAGAACCGGAGAAAGAGAAACCAAAGCCAGAGCCCGCAAAGCCAGCAGCTAGGATAGGAGAAAGTTTATTTGGAGCCAAGCCATCAACATCCGGGAATCCATTCGCAACAGGCTCGAATCCCTTCTCTACACCATCAGGCGGAAGCACACCTTCAAATCCTTTTGCAGCCGCCGGTCTAGCCACCTCTGAACTCGCTGCAAAACCCCCTCAAAACCCAGAACCTAAATCTTCAGAAGCCACAAAGGACACTCTTCCGAAAACCTTTGCATCTACCCTCTCCCTCAACAATCCACAATCTCAGCCAGCGACTCAAACCCCTCCACCCAACGAACCATGGCCTACAACAGATCTCCCAGCACCCTATCCCCTTTACTACCTCGTAGATGCCGACTACGAGACCCTCGATAAAGAGCCCTTACCCCCGCCACCTCAAGCTACAATCGTAGACGACACACCTGATTCATCGTCTGGTGGAAAGGAAGACAAGGAAATCTTTGAATCAACGCACGACACGACCTTCCAGAAATTCGCCGATCGTCTTTCACAAAATCCTGAACAAGTAATCCGTTATGAATTCCGTGGTTCCCCTCTTCTCTACTCTAAAACAGATTCTGTGGGAAAGATCTTTGCGGATGCTGGAAAGGGGAATGAGAAGGTTAAAGTTAGTAATGGCAGTGGAAACTGGAAGATACCGCGCTGTGCGAATTGTGGAGCCGGGAGAGTATTTGAAGTGCAGGTAACACCCCATGCGATCATGGAGTTGGAAAGGGAGGAAAAGGGCCTGGATGGGATGGATTGGGGGACAGTAATTCTAGGGGTTTGTGAAAAGGATTGTGTGCCTAGCTGGGTAGAAGGTGGAAAGACGGGATACGTAGAAGAATGGGCGGGAGTGCAATGGGAAGAGTTAGGCGGGAAGAAATAGGAGACGAGGAGAGGTTGTTCAGACGTCATGAATACATAGTCATTATTGCGAATACCATATGAGAAATGAAGCATCGTTTGGGGCTTTGACTTTTTTTATTTCATTCGGCTACTTGCAACAGATTTCGCGTGCATCATATAGTGAAGGAAAATTTCACGCTGCAGCTACTATCTATGCGACGTCTAGAAGCCAGCCACTCATCTCGAGATCCTCGTCATCGAGGGAGATGCAAAACAGATAAAGAGTTTGCATCTTTTCCCGTTCCTCAAGGACACCCTGATATAACGCCAACCTCCAACCCATTATCCCTTTGCATACAAGCATATCTCATAATTACTAACCCGTGCACACCTAAGCAGGTTGTTCATAAGCTCTCTTAATTACCCTCGAGAATTGCTCCATCTTGACATTTTCCCTGACCACGGTTCCCTTGGCCTCATTCTCCTTGTTTAATGGTACAATGACAGCGCCATTTTCTATGGTCCATCCGCATACCTCCTTGATAAATTTTTCAAAGGCTTCACCATTCATTCCGAGCCAATTCTCGAGCTCTGAACTAGCTACTTCGCGCACGGATTGGGAAATTGTCGAGGCAATGCGGATGCGCACTAACTCTTCGAAACCACTTACGTCGGCGATGAGATCGGCGTATAAATCATCGGAATCAAGGGTTGACCAAAATTGGCTGTAGTTTGCGGAGGAGAGGAGGGTGTTGAGAACGGCGAGCTTTTGTACGGCTTCGGAGAGAGGAGCGTCTCCTGCTGCGGGGAGAGATGATGAGGCTGAGATAGGTGTAAGGATGTGGGGTGGAAGGAGGTGGAGAGCGAGGCTGAAGTCTGGGGAGGGGAAGACGGTGAGGGACTTGACGAGAATGTTGGTTATGGTTTCGTCTTTGGTGAGGTGGGGGTTGAATTGGTAACTGAGGTTTTGGTATGATACATTAGTTATGTATTCCAATTGATATTTTGCGACGGTTTAAAAAATGACGTGTATCGTGTCTTTCAGATAGAGCTAATAAAAAACTTCATGAAATGGAGGGATTCATTCTCCAAAGTTTCAGGTAATAGGGAACGTTAAACGTTCATTCATCATTTGGACATAGTAAATCTTCTCTTTCTCGAGCATGGGATTCATTGAGCGTATGTGTCAAGAGCTTTGAGCTCCTACTCTTCCCCTCATTCTTCCACCCAACAAAAAAAAAGAGAAGCAATGGTAGATAAAACAAAAAGAAAGATTCCCAACTTACAGTTTCAGAAGCGCCAAATTAGCATAGCAATCATAAGTTTTCTCCTCACACTGCAGCGTTACATATTCTTGGAAAATATTTGTTGTTTCGGGGTTATAACGATCGAGTCCGTTGAGGATAGCATCGATATGTTCAGGCCTGTCTGGCGCATAATCAAAAGGGACACCCATATTTATCGTATCGTGGGTATGTGTGAAGAATGAAAACAGGAGGTGGGGTGTTGGTGGAGAGACGGTGAGGTGGGAGAAAAAATTGGCTTGGTCGTCCAAAGAAAGAAGAAGGAAGTTGAAAGAAAATTGAGGTTTTGGGATATTGCTGTTGCTCGTTAGGGCTGCTGTGTGAAGATTTTGCCGACGCTAGTGGGGTGTTGGTGCCTTAGGTTGTCAGATGGAAATTGAGGAACTCAATGGTTTCCCATCTCGTCTCCTCAGTCTAGATCTTCAATCATCTTTTGTTTCCAATGTGCAAGTATAGTTTCAAATGACAAAAGGAACGATTTGTCACGGAAACGACTAAATGTATTCAAACACTCATTCGGATAGGATTGAGTCTATCTATCTATCTACACAAAACAAGATACGAAGAATATACATGAAATCTCCTCGGAACCATTCAACTATAAATAACTAATATCGTATGTGGTGATCTTTACTCCATGAATCAATAAGTATGTTGTGGTGGTTGCCTTCCTTCCTTTCTCTCCCTCGCCTGGGATAGAAACCCCAATTCCCATATTGAGATAGTTATCTCCTATTATACAAGTCTTCTCCCGTTTTCTCATCCTACATCCCCTGAATATAACACATAATCGCAGATTCGCTACATCGCTCAAGATTGCAAATGCCAATTAACTCCAGTTCCAGTCCATACTAAACGAATGGTACGTGGACCCCCAATGGTATATTTTGCTTACACTTCCAAGGTCCATCCCATAAAAGAAAGTCATATTCATATTCATCTTCATCGCCATCGTCATCTAGCTTTTCCAACCCCTCCCTTACTACTTGTAGCACTCATTGGACTAACATTATCTGCGTTTCTCCTCACATCCCACTGTTGGTTCATATTTCCATTCATACCATAAAACCCTTGGCCAGCCAAACTGCTCGGTCCACTCCCTATATCTGGACCTGGATCTCCCCAGTCGCCCATTGATGTTCTACTGCTGTATTTGCTTTCATAAGTACCTTGACTTGCTATTCTCGAGTCGCTGCTCACGAAGTTTTGGATTGGCACTACTGGCGCCTGACCTGGTTTAAAAGTGGGCATCGTTAATGGATCTGGATAAAAATCGGAGCCACGTTCAAACAACGCAGGGCTATTTGATTTCTGGACGCTGTTTGCCAACATTGGCAACCATAGTTCTGGTCGCTCGAGGTCGAAGGGGTCAGATCGCCCAGCCATTCTACGTGTATTGTTGATGTTGGAAGCTGTAGAGTATAATGTATCACGAAAGCTTTCCGTACTGGGTGCTATACTTGAGGGATACCGTGATACATTACTGATGCTTGGAGTGCGATATGCAGCCGGCCCATAGACACTGCTTGGTGCATTCTTATGACCTCGAGTAGTACTGTCTAATGACTCGCCACGAGAACGACGGACGTCGCTGATATATGTACTGGTCCTCGGAATGGCAGGGCCAGGCCGAGAAATAGAATCCCATTTGTTCGGGTCCGCAAATGGATTGGTATTCAAGTTTCTTGAAGCAGGATCCGCAAACGGATCTTGTGGAATACCGAAGTCTAACCCCAAACTACCGAACATTTGTCCGGATCCCGAGTTTGAAGAAAGAGAAAGACGGCGACGCTCAGCTTTCATTAATAAATTACGATCATCCATGTCCATCAGATTGCCAAAGTCCTGCCTTTCCGACATTCCACGTGCCATTGCAAAAGGATCCTGTTCTTCTTTCGGGGTTTTTCGAAATACACCTTTAACTTTATTCGTGAAGTCATCTGCTCGATCTTTTGCGGCGTAGTGCAATGCATGTGCAGATGCCGAAGAGTTGTTCCTGCTATGATATGGAATTGGACCTTCAAAGAATTGTGAGTTCCCTCTATCAAGATTCACGGTTGGCTTATTTCCTGGCTGAACATGATTCTTAAGAGTAGAACCTATACCAGCTAAACCTGCGCCAAAATTTGTCGCAACACCCCCTATTTGTGCTTTAAAGTTTGTACCTCGACCCGCTGATCCTACGGAATCATCATAAATATCGTAATACTGGCCTTGTGCCTTCTTATCAATATCATAGAACTGGTCTTGAGTTCCGTTTGTCAGAGGTGTGAGGAGAGAGTTTCTCTTTGACTTTCTTCTTCTCCTACAGCAGAATATGATCAATCCTATTAATGCAAGAAAGCCGATTCCGCCCAGTATTCCTCCAATTACAGGTGCAGTCATGAGACGACCCAACGAAGAAATTCCACCTGCAGCTGTTGACTCAACCGATTGTGTTGAAGATGCTGTTGCGCTCACGACTGAAGTTGCATGACCGACACTGGGATCGTGGGTTGCGGGATCATGACTGGATGTAGCTGTAGTACTTATCTGACTTTGAGCAATTGCTATTGAAGTACTTGATGACTCAGTTGGCGTCGTGCCTTTAGACGCTGGGCTAGGTGATGTTGTCGTACTGATGTTTGTTGAAGTTGTTTGAGTTTGGGATGCACTTGAGGTGGTAGCTACTGGGGTTGGTGCAGGTGGAGGTGGAGGTGGAGGTGGAGGTGGGGTTGGTGGAGTTGGTTTTGGTTCAACTGCACTCGTAGTCGTACTTGACGATTGTACCACTGGTCCTCCCACCGCAACAGCCACTGGTGAACTCGCAACTGCTGGGACCACACTAACCGGTGTTGAGGTTGGTTGCGGAGTTTGAGTGGCACTCTCCGGAGTTGAAGTTGAAGTCGAAGTTGAACTTGAGGAGGTAGACGTAGACGAAGAAGAAGAAGAAGAAGATGATGATGATGTAGATGTAGAAACTGGAATTGGAACTGCAGTTGTAATTGCTGATGATACTGTATTGGCCGTCCTTGGAACAGCAGTACATCTCACACCATTTATTGAAGTAATTGAAAATCCTGCCGGCAGGTTTGCGCTCGTCGACATATTGTCAAATAAAGAAAGCGACACCCAGTCGCTACAAATGAATGTATTGAATCAGCCTTCAAGGAGATTGGTTTGAATATTGGCTCCTCGGCCCTTCAGGTTAATTTCATAATGGTACTCTATATCTTGTCGACGACCAAAGAACGGCAATCAACAATGAAAATGCAAAGTAAAAAATAACAAGAACAAATTGAAAATTCACGAAAGCTTCAGGCACAATAGCATAATGAGTAACAATTTCTCACTCACCAGAAAAAAACGGTTGAAAGACTACCATTTTTCTTTTGTTACACTGGAGAGGGGAGGGGTTAGATGTTGCAAATCTGATACACGGTCTGTTTTACGCTCTGGCCTTCTTGAGCACTCGCTTCCCAATCGATCGAACATTTCACACTAAAGCGGTAAGAACACCCCGTAAGCACAATAAGTAAAGGCCTTGCCGCTGCTAATCGGGACAAGTGGTTGAGTAAAATGATGTAGATGAATGGAAGGTCGAATTGGAAATCAATGGAAATGATTGAAAAGGCTTCGATTCAATCTAATTCTCCAGGTGTCATTGGACAATCAAGAAAGATTTAAATGAATTTATGCCTCCCCTCGTCTCCCTCCCCCTGTGTGGGGTGACAATAGAGTTATAGAAAAGGCTAAATTAGTTGATAGGGAAAGGGATAGGGATAGGATAGGATAGGATAGGATAGGACAGGATAGGCTAGGCTGCCAAATCTGCTCGTTCTTCAAGGGTCAAGGCGTACGAGTGAGGTTGTCTAATGTCAAATCAAGTTGTCTGCTGGCAATTGTGCTGCCAATTGTAGGACTCAAGCCTCTAGCAGTCGACTAGCCCTGACTACTTACCCGAGTTAGTCTTGTTTCCGGAAAAAAAATTAGATTAAATGGCGAGAATTGTCACATTTCTGTTGATGGTGTGGTGTCATCACGATCCAAGGGGAGGGGAGGGGGAGTGATGGAAAGCTACTTCCTGCAAGCGAGAGGGTTATTGTAGTACTGACGATCCCAACGATTTCATAATCGACTCCTTCGAGATAATATTGCTACAAAAGAGACAAACGCCCCCACTTGGCGGTGAATGTTAATATATCTTCATTTCGATTTAATCTAATTTGTTTCTTTTTGAAAACTGACAAAACATGAATCACCAACTATGCCATTATCCGGTGTTGGGCAGTTGAGGGAGAGTTGATGAGAGTTGGAATTTCAAATATGGGTTCTACAGAATAGACATCTTTCCGAGTGCTATCCGCACTCTCACTATCAGAAGCTTCTCAATACACTTTTGAATTATAATGTTATACCAAATGCATGTGTGTTTTATCATACTCTACCACCCGGTATATGAGCATGCCAAGCCTAAAGAGTTCGTTCCTTTTACAGTACCTGCATACAATGATTCCACAAGCTTCCACCACCAAGAATGTGACAAGAGGATACAAGAGTCTTTCGCTTCACTTCATCCCAAAAAATGGAGCAAGATGAATAGATCCGGAAGTTCGCATTACCAGCCTTTACGTTGGCTTACCACGTTTTCTTGTTTGAGCCTCAGTGATCCTTTCTTGGCAACTCACTTCTATGGAGGAGGTATGACCTTACCGGTTTTCTTTCACATGTGTGACATATCCACTATTTCCTCATCCTGAACCTAATTCTCTCCAACTTGTTTCTGTTCCAGTTATGCTTATTGACCTCCGTTGTGGAATCGACTGCTATGACCCTACACTATACCTACAAGAGCATCAGTCGAGAAACCAACACATGGTAGGCAGTATCAAATTAATTGAAGCACCGCAGGAGCGCAGTAAACAAAACTGTCACAATGGAAACTAAGCATTTTAAAGTTGTATGCTAGGTCATACTCGTTTTGTGCCATAACAGGCTTTATTATGGTGCAACGTCTAGAAGGGCCACTTTTCACTCCACACGGCAATCTTCTGGTCCGCGTATGAGGATCGTGTAGTGCCAGTATCTAGGTACAGTACTGAACGACATTGTTCTATTTGTTCATTGGAATGTTACAAGACATGGTCGCTTAGAATCCAATATTGTCGGAAGCTAATTCCTACAATGGTCGGGATTGATATGAGGTTGGTCGGAATCGACTATCAAGTGTATAAGACGAGCAATCGGCAGGTCATAATGTAGAAATATTCAACGCGTTGCGTCTAGCCGTAAGATGTTGTTGATCTAGACCAAATGATATGATATGCAGCACAAAGGAACCCCGCAGAATACATATGAACAGAACAGATTTCCGGTGACATTGCCAATGGCATTATTTCATTACCTTGTTGTATATGAATGTACTGGTGCAAAGTCAACAAGCGGAATATCCGGAGCTTGAACGGTGATGCGATGCTTTGCCAGATATGATGATAGTTTGAATGAAGAAGATTGGCATACTTGAGTAGGTATGCATAAGTAACCAGATTGACTCGTGACTTCTGTGAGATGATCTGGGGTCAAATCTACCAAATGGCACCATCTTATTAAACCCAAAATGTGAATGACTAGATAGCAGATGAGCTACAAATTACAATTGATGTGTAAAATTCACTACCTACCTAGGCATGAAAGAAGAGGTTTCCAAACTCAAGTCTTGAACTCAGGTATCTATCTGATTGTACGTGTATGATCTATGCCTTTCCAGTATCGTTGACTCCCATCAATATCATATCATATCATATCATATCACATCACATCACATCACTTCACATCACTTCACTTCCATAGGAAACTGGTCCTCGTTATTCGTGCTAGTCCTTCCATCTGAGTAAATCACTCTTCCAACTTTGCCCTTGTAAGATCTTACATGTTCCGCAGAGGCAAAGGCCAATAACGGCACACTCATATTATTGGTTTACAATTAACCTTACAAGAACTCGAGTACATCATCCACTATAATCAAGCAATTGATTGGAAGAGAAGCAAATTGAGAAACGACAACATATGGCATATGCATAATTCACGCGACTTTGCCCCAGCATCGACCGAGGAGCCAGAGTAACTTTCTCCATAACAATCAATCAAGCAACATCGCAGCGAAAGAGACTTCGCACCAGAAGTATCTCCCTCAATTGTCAGTCATCTTCACGTCAAATATATCAATCAACGATTTGGTATCGAATATATTAATAACACATCTTTGGGATATACCAATTCTTCCACACTCGGATTCTACGAGGGGTTTGCATTGATTGATTAATTAATTGTTCTTAAATTCTTAAAGGGTGGGTGAGAATCAAAGCTCCAGGCAATAACCCCTCAGAATATCAAAAGAAACGATCCGGGGAAAAGGAAGACCGTCGCTATCGTCATCATCACCGTCATCATCATCATGTTCGGTAATTTTGCAAGTTTTGGTAAGCATTGAAATATATTCATACTACTCGACTACCCTTTTTTATAATTCTGAAACGGGCCTTTCCTCGTGCCTGCCAACCTCCTTAAGCTTTCCATACTGAGCTCAACATTACACTAAAATCTCTCTGAGATCTGGATGGGAGTCTCAATTCTAAATCTATAATCTGCAACCTTTATCATGTGGTCCTCCCATGCATGATCATAATGAGATCTTCATTATACCCCCGACAGAAGCTACGGTCATCCCGTTTGATACCTCTCCTCCGGGGTTTTGGTAATCACTGCGTGTCTGAAAGTCTTCAGAGTTTCACGAATCACTACTACATCAATAATGAGCATTCACATTATTGATCATCTCATGAAACCGTTGCAAACCCATACAAGCTCTTTTCGTCCGTTTTCTTTTCGTTTCATCTTTTCATTTTATCCTACACCCATCCTATTTAGCCGTCTAGGCATTTCACAACGTCCATACTATCATCCAAATTTCCCATGAAATAGGACGCGAAAGGATCCATATTCAGAAAAGCTCAATATTCTGACTCTTTTACAGCACCGCAACCTACCACAGCTGATGGTAAGCCTCGGACTATCCCACCACCAACTCCACTCACGTTCCCTTCAAGTACACCCCAGTCGCCTGAGCATGTTTCTTCGGACGATGTACCCCTAGTCACGTTTCTTCAGACTATTCATCGGCCAACGGATATTAAATTGTCCCATTTCGAAAGACTAGGTATTCACGTCGTCCCAAATGTATCCCCTCAGGAGTTCTTACCCGATCCTTCCTTTCTTCCCCCAGATGAAGAATGGACAAATGTCTCCGAGGAAGATTTAGAAGATGCAACTACAGCAAGTAAAAAGCCTTTAAGTAATGGCAATAAAGGTCCTGGAGCGAAAGCTTATCTGGACCGCCGAAGGGAACTTTCGATTGACAATACAGCTGCTTTTCGCACTGTCCGGAGAATTCCCCAAATAAAGGGCACACCAGCAGCTCGTTTAGGCAATGCGTATGAATTCTACAAGAATTTGGAAGTCTTTTCGGGCTACTGGGTTGACACTTCTCTTCCAAAAATCACCACCCCTCCTTCTGACGCCGCCGAAAATGGTGCCGAGAATCAAATCGGAGAAACCAAAGAAGGTGAAGCTCCAATTCCGCTCCATCAACAAACCCACGTTCGGACTGGCACTGGTTCCCAGCTCCCTCACGAATTCCGTCAAGGTCTTGCGACTTCCTTCATAAAACTTGTCGCCTATGACTTCGGCTGTAACGTCTCTTTTCCACGTGTCGAACCTCGTCTCCATATTCATCCACCAAAGTCACAACCCACATTCCCTCCATCTCAGTTCTCCGCTATGGGCATTACTATGATCTACCGTTCCCCTACCGACCGAAACTCCTCTCGCGCAGGAATCCTTGAAGGTCCCTTAGCAGCTCTCTCATGTCGGTCGTCAACATCCTTCAGCACTCCCCTCGATTCCAATTTAGATCTTGCTCGTGAAGTAATCACGATTCTGCTCACGGCTCAGCAACGGAATCGTGAAGGAAAAATCGAAAAGCCCTTTGGTGAGGGGAAATGGTGGACTACTGTTCCTCGCTGGGGTGGTGGGAAAGGTGGTCCTATTGG